CTCCAGAAAGATCTATGTTTGCTTCTGCTGAGTCCCTGGAGGGCCTGCCATATACAGGGCACTATAGTAGGCCAGGGCTTTACATACTTAGCTTGCGATTGTTAAGACTGAGGCAGGGCAAAATAGGGACATGCCCAGGAAGGCTGCTCGTAAATACTCAGACTGGATGGCCTGAGCCTGCACACTAGGCGTAACAGGAGGGGCAGAGGATGGCTATTAGGGGCTTCTGGCCACATGGAGAAGGACAAGGTCAGGGGCTCATGCATTCCTCTCTAGCAGAGAAGGTAGCACACTTCTTTGGCACGTAACTTCACTTGGTAATAAAGACGTCTTCTCTTATGTTCCATTTTTCTGTCCCTCTCTTCTTTTCCTTTTGCTGGTTCTGTGAAAGATTTTTCTATTCATGGATAAACTAAGAATATGGATCTGCTGCCTGGTAACAAGACCACTCAGATGATGTGAATTTGGGCTGCAAATCCAGGTAAAGATCAGCTCTATGGTTATAACTTCTTAGGGCTTACCCCTCCCTCCCCCCTTATATGCAGTCGGTCTCCTCCCTTCCCCCTTCCTCTCTCTCTCTCTCTCTCTCAGCACCTTAGTGCTAATGCAGCTTGTCTTTCAGGCTTGTGAAGGAAGGTAGGGGCAGGTTTATTCCTACCGTGAGGAGGTCTCTCTGTGAGACTCCTTACCTTGAGCAGGCCTGGGGCTTTCAGCCTGTCCATCACCATCACCCCCATCATCCCCATCAGGCCTTGGAAAACACAAACACAGAGAAGCCCAAGTTCTGTGCTTCAGCAGATTCCCCAGGGCAAAGGTGGTTTCAATGTTATACTTAGTTCACTGCATTCTAGATTTTGTCCTGGTAATTCCTTACATTCTTATCCACTCTTAGATGCCTTTAAGAAGATGCTTTTTGGGCCGGCCCCGTGGCGCACTCAGGAGAGTGCAGTGCTTGGGTGCGCAGCGGCGCTCGTTCGGATCCTATATAGGGATGGCCGGTGCGCTCACTGGCTGAGCGTGGTGCGGGCGACACCAACCCAAGGGTTGCGATCCCCTTACCGGTCACAAAAAAAAAGAAGATGCTTTTTATGCTTCATCCAGCATTTTTATTGCTCTTAGTAGGGAGATTGACCTGAAAATATAGGCTACATTCCCAGAGACAGAGCCAGCCATTTTTCTGATAGTTTGAGCAGTCACTGGAGGCAGTGCCAGTTCTGCCAGAGGCAGAAGCCACATTGCCTCATGCCAGGGGTGAACAGTGGGTCCTTCCTGAGAAAGTTTGGGGGTGAAGAGGAGATAAGAGCTGCAGGACATTTTTCCTCCTAGAAGAAAGAGGCTTGATGGTACTAAGAAGGTATGAGCCAGTTGGAGGGGAAGAGTTAAATAAGAAAGGTCTTCAAAAAGTTCATGGAAACCTAAATGTCCATTGATGGATGATTGGATAAGGAAACTGTGGTATATATAAACCATAGAATACTATGTCATAAAAAAGAATGAAATTCTCCTATTTGCAACAACATGGATGAGCCTGGAGAAACTTAAGTTGAGTGAAATAAGCAAAGCACAGAGGGATAAATACCACATGTGTTCTCTCATATGTGGGAGCTAAGAGAGAAAGAAGAAAGGAAAGAAAGACCGTGGTAGTGCACTGGACTTGCAGATGGAGAGAACATACCTTGGGCCACAAAGTGGAGTGTGGGGGAAAGGGGAGGGAGAGGGAGGTTGGGGATAATTGGGTGGGTGACAGGGTACAAATGCAGTTTGTGGTAATGGGCATGCTGGCAGTATGAATCTGGCCTTCACATCTGGGCATGAGGGGTAGCAGTCAGCTTTGTATCTCATGAATATTCATAACCAAAAAAAAAGTTAATGGGAAGATTCCTTTTATCTTTTTTTTTTTTTTCCTTTTTGTCTTTTTTACTGACCGGTAACAGGATCGCAAC